AGATGATGTTCGGGGGCGCATATTGGGAACAAAGCCGCTGCCAAATATTGGAGCAGTCTTCTCCGAAGTACGCCATAAATCAAGCAGGAAAAAGGTAATGATGGGAGAGCCCTCTGTTGTTCCTACTACTGTTGTACCTGTCTCAGAAAGTTCTACCCTTGCTGCTCGAGGATTCCAAAACAACAGCTATGACAGTCGGCCTAGAAATGAGAGACCATGGTGTGATCATTGTCGGAAACTAGGCCACACCCAAGAGACCTGCTGGAAGATCCACAGAAAACCTGCAAATTGGAAGTCTTTAAGACCTCCTCGTGACAAAGAAAGCCGAGGGAACCATGTCTCGGTGGATGAAGGAACTAATCCCACTTATTCCAATCCATTTAGCAAGGAGCAACTTGAAGCCTTGCAAAAGATGTTCTCACAACAGAATTCTGCTCAAAGCATCATTGGAACAGGATCATTGGCTCACAAAGGTAATTATCTAAGTGCCTTCACTGCAAATTTTGGTAGAACAGGTCCATGGATTGTAGACTCAGGTGCATCTGACTACATGACGGGAGATGCAACACTTTTCCACAAATATAATCCTTGCCGAGGATCACTTACAGTGAAAATAGCAGATGGGTCTTTATCTAAAGTGGCCAGAACAGGTTCTATCATTGTTTCAAAGGACCTAATACTAAATTCAGTTCTTCATGTTCCAAACTTGGACTGTAATCTGTTGTCAGTTAGCAAGCTCACTCAAGAAAATAATTGTGTTGCTAAATTTTTCTCGGACTTGTGTGAATTTCAAGATTTGGATTCGGGGCTGACAATTGGCAATGCTAAGGTGTGCTCATGACTTTTTCTTCTTAAAGACGGTGAACCTCCTAGAAGACAAACTCATAATGCAGTGTGTGTTGAGTCAAGCAGTCAGTCCAATAATAGTTCTGTGTTTGCTGAAAAATTCAATAAGGATAGTGCAATAATGTTATGGCACTATCGTCTAGGTCATCCTAATTTTATGTATCTTCAAAAATTGTTCCCATCCTTGTTCAAGAATAAAAATCCAAAAATGTTTCAATGTGAGGTGTGTCAATTTTCTAAGCATGTTCGTAATTCCTATCAAATGCAACCATACAAAGCATCTTTTCCTTTCTCATTGATACATAGTGATGTATGGGGACCATCTAGAGTAAAGAATATCACTGGCACTAGATGGTTTATATCATTTGTAGATGATCACACTAGGATCGCATGGCTATTCCTTATGAAAGAAAAATCGGAAGTAGGACAAATCTTCAAAAATTTAAACACTATGGTTCAAACACAATTTCAAACAAAAATACAAGTGTTGAAAACTGATAATGCAAAGGAATATTTTGAAACTGTCCTAGGTGATTACCTCAAAGATCAGGGAATTATTCATCAAAGTTCTTGCGTCGATACACCCCAACAAAATGGGATTGCAGAAAGAAAAAATAGACATCTCCTTGAAGTTGCTCAATCACTTATGTTCACCACTCATGTTCCTAAATTTTTCTGGGGTGAAGCAGTCTTAACAGCTACCTATCTAATAAACAGGATGTCCTCCCAAGTTCTAAAATTCCAAACACCTTGTCAAGTCTTCCTTCACTCATTTCCTAACACTCGTGTCTTGTCTACTCTTCCTGTGAAAGTTTTTGGTTGTTCAGTGTTCGTCCATATTCATGATCAACATCGGAGTAAACTTGATCCAAAGGCACTTAAATGCATATTTGTTGGTTACTCCTCAAATAAAAAAGGGTATAAATGTTATTCCCCTGTCACTCGAAGATTCTATAATTCCATGGATGTCTCTTTCTTCGAACAACCTTACTATAAATTTGATATTCAGGAGGAGAACTTTACTCAGGTATCTCAGCTTTGGGATCATGTTGAAACCTTGGACTCATCTCAAAATCCGGTCATTCAAACAACTCAAAGTCCAACGTCAGTCATTCAACCCGTCCCTGATACTCAGCCTGAATTCCATTCTCAAACAGAACTCTAATCAATACCACAGTCAATTCAAACACCTCAGCGTCTGACTCTCACACAGCCTGTGGTAACTAGTGAGTTTCGTGTCTACTCTAGGAGGAACAAAACTCAAGAAGGAAAAGAAATGCAGCCACATGATCAAAGTCATGAATCCAACTCGAGTCCTGAACCTCAAAAATCACCAAGTAACTCAAGTTCTCTTCCTAATCCTAGCAACTCATCTATTGATGACAGACCTATTGCCATAAGAAAAGGCATTAGGTCGTGTACAAATCATCCCATCTACACTTTGTGTCATATGGAGGACTGTCACCTAGCTACCGTACATTTGAAAGCACTCTTGATACAATATAGGTTCCAAATATCATATATGAAGCTCTAAATGTACCAAAGTGGAAGGCAGCAGTTTTGGAAGAGATCCAGGCTCTGGAAAAGAATGGGACTTGGGTGTTATCAGAGTTACCATCAGGGGAACATCCGGTTGGTTGCAAATGGATATTCACAGTCAAACAGAATGCAGATGGCAGTGTTAACAGGTTTAAGGCAAGGTTAGTAGCTAAGGACTTTACTCAATCTTATGGGATAGATTATTACGAGACTTTCGCCCCTGTAGCTAAACTCAATACAATCCGAGTGTTGCTCCCACTTGCCTCAAACCTAGATTGGCCTCTATACCAGTTAGATGTGAAAAATGCATTTCTAGAGGAGGAAGTCTACATGGAGATACCACATGGATTTACTACACCAACCACGATGAACAAGGTTTGCAAACTCAAGAAGTCTTTGTATAGACTAAAGCAGTCACTGCGAGCTTGGTTTGACAGATGCACTAGGGCAGTTAAGAAGTTTGGGTATGATCAATGTCAGACAGATCACACTATGTTTGTCAAGCATTCACCATTAGGTAAAAAGGCAAAGGCAATACTAATTGTGTATGTTGATGATATCATCCTAACCGGAGATTATGATGAAGAGATACTCATGCTTAAGAATTTCTTAGCGAAAGAATTTGAGATCAAGGACTTGGGCAATCTCAAGTACTTCCTTGGCATGGAAGTCGCTCGATCAAAAGGGGGCATTTCAGTTTCACAACGGAAGTATGTGTTGGATCTCTTAAAAGAGACAGGGATGCTCAGATGCAAGCCAGCTGATACTCCTATGGATCCCAACTCAAAACTGGGAAGTAAGATTGACAGCACTCCAGTTGACAAAGGGAGTTACCAAAGACTGGTTGGGAAACTCATTTATCTCTCTCATACCCGACCAGATATAAGCTTTGCCGTAAGTGTGGTTAGTCAATTCATGAACAATCCAACAAAAGAGCATATAGAAGCTACATACAGGATTCTAAGGTACTTAAAGATGACACCGGGTCAAGGATTGCTCTTAAAAAAGACAGCAAAGAAAGAAGTTGAGATCTTCACGGATGCAGATTGGGCTGGGTCCGTAACTGACAGACGATCTACCTCAGGTTATTGTACATATGTTTGAGGAAATCTAGTCACTTGGAGAAGTAAGAAACAATCAGTGGTTTCTCAAAGCAGTGCAGAAGCAGAGTTCAGAGCTCTTGCACTTGGCATCTGTGAGGGAATATGGTTGAAAAGGATGCTTTGTGGACTAAGGTTTCCAGTCTCAGAACCTATGAAAGCTTTTTGTGATAATCAGTCTACAATCAACATAGCAAAGAACCCAGTACATCATGATAGAACCAAGCATGTGGAGATCAATAGACACTTTATCAAAGAGAAGATAGAAACAGAAATGATATCTCTCTTATACATTCCAACCAACCAACAAATTGCAGACATCCTAACAAAGGTTGTTCAAAGGAAGACCTTCGAGGATCTTTATTTCCAAGCTTGGTTTAATCAACATCTACAACCAAGCTTGGGGGGAGTGTGGAAATCTATGATTTAATCACTGATTTCTAGGAATTAGCTGTTACCCGATTCTTAAGGATTAGTTATAATTAGATTTATTTGTTACCTAGAATAAGAGGGATATTGGCTTAATTGACCGATTCCCTATATTGTATTTTTTTTTCCCTTTTTAGTTGCTTGTTTTCTGGAGAAGAATTCTTCCTCCCTTATTATTTAAGGCTGTACATTAGTCAGAATGATGAATAAGAAGCATAATATTCCTTTCTCAAAAACTCACAGTATGTGGTCTAAATCATCAGAACAACTCCCTTTTCTTCGGGTAAGTGAATCTAAATCTTTGCACTAGCTCTATCCCTAAGACTATTAATGCTCAGCAGCAGCTGCCACTGCTTTGAAAGAGATCTTACAGTTTCAGTTTCAATGTAACAGCCATAACAGCTCAGATATATCCTATAATGTCACATAAAGAAAACTCCTGTCTTCACATACCGCCCTACTACGTATTCTGTCAATCAACCACACAAAGTTAATTCCTACCAAAGAAATCTTAAGAAATTCCAGTTAACACCAAATTAGCTTCAAAATAAACCAGAAAAATAAAATCACACCATTAGTTATTTGGTGGAATGGTAATGCTACTTGTTCTCTTAAAGAAGATCTTGGCTTTAGGTCTGTCCCACCGCGATGGATAGGGCATATGAACAATCTACTTCATTGAGGGATCTATATATCATGCAAATGCACTACCTCCTCTCCGAGTAGAATCTGGATACGACACCCTCTATTCTTATAACCCTTATATGTTTGTATGTATGTACACAGGGCTTTTCTTCACCCTTCCGGTGGGAGGTTTCTCCAACGTAACACTTAATTATGAAAACGTAACATGACAATTATTGAAAATAACGTCAACGTCAGAGAGAAGTAACACTAAAAAATTTAGTCATCTAAAAATTATGTTAATTCTCTCTACATTCAATAACTGTCATATTACGTTTTTATAACTACATGTTACATTGGAGGGATCCTTCCAGACCCTGCAGAGAAAAAGCCTATATATACTTCGTAAGGTCACATGGAGCTATGAAAAGTCGTGTTAAAAAATGAAAAATCAATTTCTTTTTATTTCATTTCAATCAAGACCCATCCCAAAAAGGAAAAGAACTACAACAACACAAGATCAAAATCCAAAGTTAAGTTCCACCCTCATCAAATTCATCATGATCATCATCATAACTACATTTTGATTTACCTCATGAAGACTTAACAGAATCAACGAACACACTACTGAGAAGCCTCTCCACGTACTTGCCCATTATATCAACCTCCAGATTCACCTTCTGCCCAATTTTCTTCAAAGGAATCACCACTTTCTGCTGCGTATAAGCCACAAGCATGAAATTAAAACAATCCTCGTCGTCAAATACATCCACAACCGTCAAACTCGTCCCGTCCACAGCAACAAACCCTTTCGGAACAACATATTTCAGAATCTCCCTCGTCGTCTTGACCTTAATCCAGAGCGAATCTTCTTCGGCCTCCATGGAAACGATCTCCCCCGTGCCGTCCACGTGACCCTGCACGAAGTGCCCGCCCATCCGGCTTATCGGCTGGACGGCTCTCTCCAGGTTCACCGGCGAGCCGACCGAGAGCTCGCTCAGCGACGTCTTCCTTAGGGTTTCGGGCGACAATCCGACGGTGAATTCGGACGAAACGGTGTCGAATTGGGTGACGGTGAGGCACGTGCCATTGACGGCTATGCTGTCGCCGAGGTTGACCCCGTCGAGGACGGTCTTGGCGGCGATCTTCATGGCGAATCCGCCGTCATCGGAAGCTCCAATTTTCTTGATTTGGCCCATTTCCTCGACTATTCCGGTGAAGAGGCATCGGATTGCGGTGGTTCTGGGGTGGCGGTGTTGGTGTCGGCGGTTGGTGATGAAGAGGGCGAGAGTGGAGGGTTTGGAAATGGGGTTGAATTTGAGGTTGGATCTGGAGAAAAGAGTGTGCGGGTTGTTGTTGTTGTTGAGGATTGGGGTTTTTGGAAGTGAGGTTTTGGGAGTTTTACAGAGGGTGGTCAGACGGAAAGGTGCCGCCATTTTTGCAGTTGTCGTTGTTCGAACGAGGACGTTGTTAATGCTTCTTTGACATTAACTTCTGACTTCTAGTAAAAATTTCACGCGACGCCCTTTTTTTTTTAATTTAGGTTTCTCAAACGTACTCGAACAATTTTACATCTAGTAAAAATTTTAATTAAAATATTTTTGTAGCATTAAAGATAAAACTAGTTAAACTAAAAAAAAAAAAAAAGAGAGAGAGATGACCTTGTTATAATAAATACTACATATTTTGTTAGTTTTTGAATATTTCAAAATAAATTATATATTTTAATTTCAATCTTATGAACATGTCATGTATTTAATTTCCACAAATTCTTAGAGGCGAGTCAGAGAAATACCATCTCCATGTGAATGGTTTAAACGTACCAATTTTAAAAAATTTATAGAACGTTATTTTAAGAAAACGAAAAGACAAATCTATTAGGGTTTCATTTAAAGAAAAAGAAAAAAAAAAAAAAAAAACTCATCTCTCTCATTGTAGATGGGGTTTCCTACAATTAAATAATTAAGTAAACTAAGGTCTCGTTCATTTTACTGAGTTAAATTTAAAATTTAAGTTTTATTATAATAAAAAAATTTCATAAATAATCACATCTAATTTTTTTATTACAGTAAAAGATTTTCACGTAAAATTATATTTCAACTTGAATCAGCGAACTAAACGGGTCTTAAAAAATCAAGTTGAAAATAGGTTTTGATTCTAAAAGCCCATGACGACCGATTCACGATGATTTTAAAACGGTAGCAACGTCATCATTGTTAGATCTGTGAGTTTCTTTCCCTCCCGACGTCAAGCAACCGTCGGAGACAATCGGAGCCATAGACGAATACGACAATCAAGGAAGAACAGTGTGAGGAGAGGGACAATGAACGAGAAGCATGAGAAGAGAGAGAAGGGGAGAGATAGAGGGTAAATCCGTAAATGTGGGATTAAAATTTTTTGTTTCAAATCCTGATTAGAAAATGCTATTTGCTCCGGTTAGTTTTAACACAATATTTGCTAACATTATTTCCACAAATTTGTTATTTACTAAATTCTTTCAAATGTTTCACTATCATTTTTTTTCTCAGGGCACTCTCAACGATTATGTCCTCACATCTAACTTTTACATAATTTTCTATCTATTTAACTCACTAAAATATTTATTACTCAAATGTGTTCGGAATGTCTCTAGACTATCTGCACACATATACTATTCAACTAAAAATACAGTGCATTTCAACTCAATCTACTTTTTTTTTTTGGCTAAACTAAGTACTTAAGAGAAAATAAATTTAAAATGCAAAAATTATTTTAGATAATTTATATACATGTCAAATTCAATAAATTGATTATGCCTGTGCATAAGAATTGATAGTATTATGACTTGAAATTTTGACGGTTTTTGACATTTCTAACATTCTTAATTTATACCATCTAAGATAAAATCATGACTTCATCACTAATCAACGTCGTCCTTACCGCATGAGGCTGTCGATTCTTTGTATAGTATTTTTTTTTTCCAACTATCCATGCAACTTATCAATCGGAAATTTTGACATGAAATGTTATTTTTATCCTTTCTTTATGATTATTTAAATGATCCCAATTTTTTTAAGGAAAAAATGAAGAAAATGTAAGGTATCATTTTAAACTTATTTTCATGACTCAAGTCATATTATTATAATATTTTTTTCCTATAAAAATTTAAATTTAATCTTTTTATTACCGTATTTTTCTCTCACATACATAATTTAAAAAACTTTTGGTTCATAAATTAGAATCATGTGATTAGAACTATTTTTGATTTACGTGTATTTTTTGTGAGAGAAAATACTATAATAAACTATAAATTATAATTCAAATCATAATTTAAATCCTCTAACCAAATATTTCCTTTAAATCTAAATTCTGCAAATGAACGTACCCTTAATATCATATAAAAAAAAATAAGGCAAGAAAATGATTTTTTTAGAGGACAATTTGTACCTGAGTCATACACTGTTGTTTTCTTATATGTTCATATTGCTTTTTTTTTTTTTTTTTTTTTTTTCCCTTTTTTGGGGGGGTTTTTTTTTTTTTCAAAAACCGCGATTTATGGGAGAACGATGAACGGAAAAATCACGCCCCCTCGATTTGCACAAGCCCAGCGACAAAACTGTGATGAACCACCTTTCTCAGGGAATTCGACTGAAAAAGCAGGCTGCAGATGGGAGATGGTGGGAGAAGAGAAAGCTTCCCCTTTCTCGTGAGCCAAGCAGTAAGCAGATGGGAAAGGAATGAGGGATGACAAGCAACGGTAACCCAGGCCTGTGTGAAAACGTGCTTCTGCAGAGAATCTGCACTGTAACAGACAGACTCGAGTAATTAGAATTCAAGGGGTAGGTGATGTTTCATAACTCGAATTCACACTCGAGTTCTTGATTTGAAGTTGGGTTACCAAACGTAATATTACACTCAAAAATGTCTCTGAGTTGGGCCAACTCCAATTGGATAGCCCAAACGAATGCACCCTTTTACTGTAGTAAAACTCGAATTCTAAACTTGAATCGGGAAATGAACGGAGTAATAAATTCTCTCAAATGTATCACTTTTTTGTTCTTGGGGCACTGTCAACTATTATGTCCTCACATCTAACTTTTACATATTTTTCTTTAAAATATTTATTACTCAAATGTGTTCTGAATGTCTCTAGACTATCTGCACACATATACTATTCAACTAAAAATACAGTGCATTTCAACTCAATCTACTTTTTTTTTTGGCTAAACTAAGTACTTAAGAGAAAATAAATTTAAAATGCAAAAATTATTTTAGATAATTTATATACATGTCAAATTCAATAAATTGATTATGCCTGTGCATAAGAATTGATAGTATTATGACTTGAAATTTTGACGGTTTTTGACATTTCTAACATTCTTAATTTATACCATCTAAGATAAAATCATGACTTCATCACTAATCAACGTCGTCCTTACCGCATGAGGCTGTAGATTCTTTGTATAGTATTTTTTTTTTCCAACTATCCATGCAACTTATCAATCGGAAATTTTGACATGAAATGTTATTTTTATCCTTTCTTTATGATTATTTAAATGATCCCAATTTTTTTAAGGAAAAAATGAAGAAAATGTAAGGTATCATTTTAAACTTATTTTCATGACTCAAGTCATATTATTATAATATTTTTTTCCTATAAAAATTTAAATTTAATCTTTTTATTACCGTATTTTTCTCTCACATACATAATTTAAAAAACTTTTGGTTCATAAATTAGAATCATGTGATTAGAACTATTTTTAATTTACGCGTATTTTTTGTAAGAAAAAACACTATAATAAACTATGAACTATGATTCAAATCATAATTTGAATCTTCCAATCAAACATTCCCTTTAAATCTAAATTGTGCAAATGAACGTACCCTTAATATCATATAAAACAAAAAATAAGGCAAGAAAATGATTTCTTTAGAGGACAATTTGTACCTGAGTCATACACTGTTGTTTTCTTATATGTTCATATTGCTTTTTTTTTTTTTTTTTTTTTTTGCCCTTTTTGGTGGGATGTTCATATTGTTCCAGAATCCTGCTTGTTAACTATTTTCTTTCTATTGATATGAAATGATAGGATTTTTACTACTCAACTGAAAACGAATAAAGAAACTACCAAATTCACTCAACAAGCCTAGTGAACTTTCTAAAATCGAATAAATTACAAATTTCCGTCACTCTCGCATTCGTTTTTTTCTACAGCTTTCTCAAGCTAAACAAAATCACGCCAACTCACATGGAAAATTTCTCCCTTAACATTCTAGATGATTTACATCCCTCTTATTGCCTTAATTACTTCTTTATCTGAAAATCCTTTTCTTCTACAGAAACTCTTTATCGTCTACAGAAAAGTGCCACTCAGGAAAAAACAAAAAAAACCGTCCACTTTTTCATCTCAAGAGTAGAAAACAGAAATGCACAGTTGATAGTATATCAGGGAAAAAAATGCACAGCTGATAGTATATCACTTCCACGACTTAAACTATAAGGTTCAAACGCTTTCAATCCCAATATTAGGGGCCAAGACATATTCGTAATGGAGTCAAAAATCAAATGGCAAGCAAAAGTGGGAGAGTATTTACCGTGTTTGATCTTGTAGATGACACCGGATGCTTTGCTTCGATAACTGCCCAAACGTGACCCCGACGGATCTGCTAAAGAAGTTCGCCAACGGCAACGACAACGGAAACACCTGTATCGGAGACAATGGCTACGCACTCAGAAATGACGTCTCACACTACATCGATTCAATATTACGGCCAATTGAAGACGCCGCTTCACTCTATTCGGACCAATTGTCTCCGTTTTGAAAACTGACGAAGACGGGGAAGACGAGGGAATGGATCTGGGTTTGTTCTTTGGCTCAGAATCAAGAATAGGGGTGGTCTTTGAGCGATTTATGGGAGAACGATGAACGGAAAAATCACGCCCCCTCGATTTGCACAAGCCCAGCGACAAAACTGTGATGAACCACCTTTCTCAGGGAATTCGACTGAAAAAGCAGGCTGCAGATGGGAGATGGTGGGAGAAGAGAAAGCTTCCCCTTTCTCGTGAGCCAAGCAGTAAGCAGATGGGAAAGGAATGAGGGATGACAAGCAACGGTAACCCAGGCCTGTGTGAAAACGTGCTTCTGCAGAGAATCTGCACTGTAACAGACAGACTCGAGTAATTAGAATTCAAGGGGTAGGTGATGTTTCATAACTCGAATTCACACTCGAGTTCTTGATTTGAAGTTGGGTTACCAAACGTAATATTACACTCAAAAATGTCTCTGAGTTGGGCCAACTCCAATTGGATAGCCCAAACGAATGCACCCTTTTACTGTAGTAAAACTCGAATTCTAAACTTGAATCGGGAAATGAACGGAGTAATAAATTCTCTCAAATGTATCACTTTTTTGTTCTTGGGGCACTGTCAACTATTATGTCCTCACATCTAACTTTTACATATTTTTCTTTAAAATATTTATTACTCAAATGTGTTCTGAATGTCTCTAGACTATCTGCACACATATACTATTCAACTAAAAATACAGTGCATTTCAACTCAATCTACTTTTTTTTTTGGCTAAACTAAGTACTTAAGAGAAAATAAATTTAAAATGCAAAAATTATTTTAGATAATTTATATACATGTCAAATTCAATAAATTGATTATGCCTGTGCATAAGAATTGATAGTATTATGACTTGAAATTTTGACGGTTTTTGACATTTCTAACATTCTTAATTTATACCATCTAAGATAAAATCATGACTTCATCACTAATCAACGTCGTCCTTACCGCATGAGGCTGTAGATTCTTTGTATAGTATTTTTTTTTTCCAACTATCCATGCAACTTATCAATCGGAAATTTTGACATGAAATGTTATTTTTATCCTTTCTTTATGATTATTTAAATGATCCCAATTTTTTTAAGGAAAAAATGAAGAAAATGTAAGGTATCATTTTAAACTTATTTTCATGACTCAAGTCATATTATTATAATATTTTTTTCTTATAAAAATTTAAATTTAATCTTTTTATTACCGTATTTTTTTCTCACATACATAATTTAAAAAACGTTTGGTTCATAAATTAGAATCATGTGATTAGAACTATTTTTGATTTACGTGTATTTTTTGTGAGAGAAAACACTATAATGAACTATAAATTATGATTCAAATCATAATTTAAATCCTCTAACCAAACATTTCCTTTAAATCTAAATTCTGCAAATGAACGTACCCTTAATATCATATTAAACTATAAATTATAATTCAAATCATAATTTAAATCCTCTAACCAAATATTTCCTTTAAATCTAAATTCTGCAAATGAACGTACCCTTAATATCATATAAAAAAAAATAAGGCAAGAAAATGATTTTTTTAGAGGACAATTTGTACCTGAGTCATACACTGTTGTTTTCTTATATGTTCATATTGCTTTTTTTTTTTTTTTTTCCTTTTTGGTGGGATGTTCATATTGTTCCAGAATCCTGCGTGTTAACTATTTTCTTTCTATTGATATGAAATGATAGGATTTTTACTACTCAACTGAACCATGTGAAGGGGAAGAGAAATCGTGTGAACTTTCGCTAGTGTCTCTCTTTTGGTTTTTGAAAACTGAAAGAGGTCTATGAACAAATTTGTTTCATTTTTATGGCCCACACTTTTCTGTAAGATGAGGCTCATAGTTGTCAAATGTCCATCGTCAATCCGGAGTAAAAAAATGATGTCGTAGAGGAAAATATTTGTACTCGTATTTTTCATTCAGCATTTGCCAAGGAAATTTTATTTTATTTATTTTTTTAAAAAAAGGAAAAAGAAAGAAAGAAAGAAAGAATGATCCGATTGTTTTGTCAAAGAACGTTGCCTTATACAAATCCGGCAGTGCACAGCCGAATCAACTCTTGGATAAGTCGTTCGCAACGTGGTTTCTCTTCCCTAGCTGTCCAGTTGACCCAACAATGCTCCAGCCATGCAGACGAGTCACCAATGCCGGATTTCGATTCCCACTCGTACGCTGCCATTCTTAAAGAGTGTGTCCGAAAAAGAGACTCCACCGAAGGGTTTCGACTTCACTGTGAGATCTTGAAAAGAGGTAATTGTTTGGATTTGTTTGCTAGTAACATTCTTCTCAACGTGTACGTAAAGTCGGGTTCAATTTCTGATGCGAACAAACTGTTCGAAGAAATGCCCCAGAGAAACACTATTTCGTTTGTTACTTTACTGCAAGGATTTTCAGAGTCTCAACGCTTTTCTGAAGCGTTGGACTTGTTTCTTAGGCTGCATAGAGAAGGTCACGAGCTTAATACGTTTGTGTTTACCTCGACTTTGAAGTTGCTTGTGAGGATGGGATGGGCGGAGATAGGTTGGTGCCTCCATGGTTTTATCTACAAGTTGGGGCATGATTCCGATGCCTTTGTTGGGTCTGCTCTTATTGACGCTTACACTGTTTGTGGATGTGTTGATATTGCTAGACATGTTTTTAAAGGGATTGTCTTTAAGGATATGGTTTCTTGGACCGGAATTGTAGCTTGTTATGCTGAGAATGATTGTTTTGAGGAGGCATTGGAACTCTTCCATGAGATGAGGATCGTTGGGTTCAAGCCCAACAATTTTACTTTTACTTCTGTGCTTAAGACATGCCTTGGTCTTGGGTCCTTAAATGCAGGAAAGAGTATTCATGCAAATGTTATAAAATCACATTACAAGGAGGATCAGTTTGTTGGTCTTGCATTGCTTGATTTATACACCAAGTTCGGGAACACGGCGGATGCTCGCAGGGCATTTGAAGAAATGCCCAAAAGCGACGTGGTTTCTTGGAGCTTCATGATCGCACGGTATGCTCAAAAGGACCAGTGTGAGGAGGCTCTTGATTTGTTCTTTCAGATGAGGAATGCTTTAGTTTGCCCCAATCAATTTACGTGTGCTAGTGTCCTGCAAGCTTGTGCAACCATGCAAAATTTGGTTTTGGGGAAGCAAATCCACTGTCATGTAACCAAGGTCGGTCTTGACTTGAATGTTTTCGTTTCAAATGCCCTAATGGATGTTTATGCTAAATGTGGAAAGATTGAGAACTCCATGGAGTTATTCGTTCAATCACCAGAAAAGAATGATGTAACTTGGAACACAATGATTGTAGGGTACGCACAGTTGGGAGATGGGGAAAAGGCATTGAGTTTGTTTTCAAGTATGCTTAGATTTCAATTGTGGGCAACAGAAGTCACCTACTCTAGTGCTCTCCGTGCTTGTGCTAGTATATCGGCCTTGGAGCCAGGACTTCAGATCCATTCCTTGACAATAAAAACAACATATGATAAGGATATCGCAGTTGGCAATGCTATGATAGATATGTATGCCAAATGTGGGTTAATCAAATATGCCCGATTGGTGTTTGACAAGTTAAAGGAACAAGATGAAGTGACATGGAATGCTATGATCTCAGGGTATTCGATTCATGGATTAGGTATGGAGGCTCTAAAAGTTTTCGAAATGATGCAGAAAACAAAGTGTAAACCAAACAAATTAACCCTTGTGGGTGTCCTATCGGCGTGTAGCAATGCAGGGCTATTGGAGCAAGGACAAGCTTATTTTAATTCCATGATACAAGACTATGGAATTGAGCCATGTATGGAACACTACACTTGCATGATTGGGCTTTTTGGGAGATTAGGTCACCTCAATAAGGCTGTGAAATTGATTGAGGAAATGCCATTCGAGCCTAGCGTTATGGTCTGGCGTGCTTTGCTTGGGGCTTGCGTTATTCATAACAATGTTGAACTCGGAAAATTGTCTGCCCAGAGAGTGCTTGAAATGGAGCCACAAGACGATGCCGCACATGTGTTGTTGTCAAACTTGTATGCTAACGCAAAGAGGTGGAACAATGTGGCTTTTATTAGGAAAAGCATGAAAAAGAAAGGAGTAAGGAAGGAACCAGGTCTTAGTTGGATTGAGACACAGGGCATTGTTCATTATTTCATTGTGGGAGATACTTCCCATCCTGACATGAAACTTATCAGTGGGATGCTTGAATGGTTGAACATGAAAACCAGGAGGGCAGGGTTTGTTCCTAATTGCAGCGTGGTTATGCGTCAAGTGGAGGATGGTGAGAGGAAACGTCTCTTGTGGCTGCATAGCGAAAGGTTAGCTCTGGCGTTTGGGCTGATTAGAACACCATCTGGTAGCCAGATTCGTATAATTAAAAACCTACGTATATGCGTTGATTGCCATGCTGCAATGAAGTTTGTATCTAAGATTGTGAAGCGAGATATTTTAATTAGAGATATGAACCGGTTCCACAATTTCCAGGACGGAATTTGCTCTTGTGGTGATAGCTGGTAATTGATCTGCGTCATGAAATATGTTACTCGAAAGATAAGCCTCCAATCTCCTTCAGCCTGTTCCTGATTACAGAAGTTACGAGAAAGAGATTAAATGAGCTGCCTGCCTTACAGGTAAACTTGACTCCTGCAAACATGTTGTGTTTTGGCCAAGACCTTAGGATTAGCTATTTGCATTTTTTTTCCGGTTCTCTTATATATTTGTTGGATTTTGATTTCGTAACTATATAGGTGAAATCAACTGTTATAACATTAACGTGTATTGATGTGTCTTGTTTCTCTCAACCTAAGGTCTATTGCAGTTATAGGAGCAAATGACAATATTGTTTCCGTTTACCCAGATTAGGAGGCATTTCAGTTTAATCTTTATAATGGTGAAAAGACTCAGACAAATATGCTCTTTCTTTTTTTCTTTTTTCTTTTTTGTCTTTTATATGTGTTAATTACGTGATGTGAAATATACTGACACCATTTATACTGGACAAGGTTTCAGCTTCTGGTCGGCAGGATAATATTTATTAAATTCAGAATTAAATGTTGACTACACTGTTTTTATGAAAAGGTGAGGTAGTTAGCCGTTGGAAAAAGATATTTGCTAATATGCTTTTGCTTTTGCCCTTGCCTTTTCCTTTACTGGTTGCATCACTGTACTAATTGGTTTATTTCCTTGTGGTGTTGAAGGAGGAAGTAGACATTCTCTGGCGTGTGCCAGGGCAATAGGAAGATACTTAGGGTCCGTTCACTTCGCTGATTCGAGTTTATAATTTGAGTTGAGATGTGATTTTGTGTGAGAGTTTTTTACTGTAGCAAAAAAGTTAGATGTGACTGTTTCTGAGAGCTTTTTACTATAGCAAAACTCAAATTCTAAACTCGAATCGGCGAAATGAACGGGGCCTTAGTTCATTTGGTGGCAAAAAGGGTAACAACCACCAAACAACTTTTTCCATCAATTCTGTTCGCTAACGATCTCTGGGTCTTCCCTATTTGTAGTTATATCCTGTTGTTTGAATTCGAAGCAAAGCTTTATGTGTAGTAGGAGGCAGTTATAGTTAAGATAGTTATGCTTCCTACGTGCTTGGCAATCTCATAGTATTCAATTCATTATTTGAGCTCAAGCTCGAAGAAAATTATTTTACATTTATTTGGTTTTGAACTTTTATTGCACGCTCTAGCATGAACGTATGGCAGGGAAAATCCAACAACCCTAAATCTTAATTTCTTATTCGACCGTCCTCTAAATGGCGTCCTGTGAAATGATGCTCTCTCATAGAAGAAAAAGCTAGGAAAAGAGACTCTTAATTCAAGGTGAAAATGGGCAGGAAAATGTTGATATGGAGGAAGCTGTTTCGTTCCGGAAGTTAGAAACAAAGCCGGGCCGTAAAAACAACCATGCCCTTGTACTTTCTTTCCTTCATAAAGGATATGCTTTGAGTGGTTGATATGATGGTGTTTGATCCGAATTGCTGGGTTCCAAGAGTGACCCTTCTGCTTAAAGGCCTGGCATTTGTAATACCTCCATTCAGGCTACTGTTTGAAAGTTACCGACGGCTTGTGCCTGGCCTCGTCCCAAATGGATGGATATTCTTGCTGAACTACCTTCTTGATTAAGGATAAATTGACTTTGAAGAAGGAAAATATAGAAAATAAATCGGATTTAGTTAGGATCAAATTTTATTTGATTTTTCCTTATTTGTGTATGATTTTATGCATTTTATTAGTTTTCCGTTTTGCTTTTGTAATTAGCCTATAAATTGGCTACATTGTTATGATCAAGTCAGACTATGTATGAATATTGAATTGCATTTCTCAGATTGCTTCCTCTCATGTTCTTTTTCCTCTTCCCTCTCTCAAATTCTCTCTCAATTCCTTCCTAAATCCCTAATTCCTATTCTATTTCTCTCTCCTCTTCTCTAAATTTTACCCTCTTTCTCTTCCCTCATCATGGAGATAGTGGTAATAGCTATATGTTCACCTCAGGATGATAAGTACAAAATTGGCATATGAATCATAACACTAGCATGTTTTGAGTGGTCATATGAACCTTCCCAATGCATTCTTATAACTGAGTGGTCATATGTTTTGAGGAAATATAGTTTATAATGATCTTAATTCTGTGTTTTCATTTGCCAGTTAATTGTGAAGCCTAAGTTTGGGATAATGAGCATTCTTTTAACTATCAAAGCAATATCGTTGCTGTTGTTTATCTCAGTAATTTTGTTCCAGGCTTGTTAATTTATTAGTGTGCTGAAAATTGGATTTTGCTGCTCTTGCTGGGCCATTATTTATTAGTTCTCAGGCTTTCAGTAGAAGAGGAGCTATTATATTATATTTTTGAAAGAACTTAATGGGTCAAAATGATTTTTTAAAATGAAGCTATGTCGTTTTGGGGGATTTCTTCGCCATAAAAAAAAAAAAAAAAATCAGAAATCACTGGTACTGGATTATTGAGAGTTCAATAAAGTTCCTAAATTGGACTTTTGGAAGGTTTCGGCTAAGGGATATTAACCCTGCAATGCCAAACCATGGCAAGTGCTTTCTTGAAATACAAAGAAAATACGATGAATAAAGGATTTTCACATACATGCATGTTATTCTAAATGCTCGAGTGTTATTTTCGTTTAATAATGTGAAGTTGCCATATTTACTATTTAGTAGGATAAACTTGGCACGGTTTATTAATTCTATCTACTCTGTGATTCTGTAGCATGATGGAATATTCAGCGACAATACAATCATCAAATCAACCTAAATGCTGACAGAAAATACTGTATCTGAGGTACAAAATTCTGTATTTCCATGAGCCAACGTTCTCTGGGCATCTTTATCATCCGTTTGTCTTTTCGGCTCATTAAAATCATTGATAGCCATCTTTATCACGTTCATTGAGTACAATGAGCTTTTTTCAAAAGTAGGGAGCCCGCTAAAATAAGGTGCATGGTTTAGGAGCGTTTATAAAGTTAATAAATGACAATGTATTCATAGTAATTATATATATATATATGGACAAGTTTGAATGGTTATCCATCAAATATAAAAAATATGATAAGAATTTAATTTTATTAATTGTCATAAATTATTTTGATCAACTACTCATTTATTTCAATCATTGGATCAATATCATACCTAGTATGAGTGTTACACTTTTCTTACCGTTAATTTTATTTGATTTAAAAACCTTCAAAGATGTTAGACTTATATAAACATATGTAATATTCAACAGTTCATTTGTTTTGTTTTGTTTTTTTAATATATATTTAAACGTGGCTTACTAATAAGTTTCTTGTTGTCCTCTAAAACAATAATTTTAATGTGATTAATACATTTATTATTAACTGTCTACCCAAATAATTTTCTCAAATATATATCTATTTTGTCATATCTCATAATTCTCTCAAATACCATCCTCTCGTATGCATACCTACAAATCACCTGTCTAATTTTTAGTGTCTCAATTAGTGTCTGACCAATCATATTATAACACATAAAATATCAAAATAAAGAAAAAGTATGATCAAACACCGTTCTAAACATCGAAATTTGACAGGTGATGATTTGAATTCAATAATTTGATTTGCCCCCTTAAAATCTTTCTTGTGTAGACTATTTATGTATAAATATATAACTCTCTAGGGTGAGATTCCCTAAAAAACTCACCAGTAGAACACTCTATTTTAATCGTTAGATTACTTTTTCAACGGTTAGATCTGTAGAAGGAATAGTTATGTGTGGCGCACTATAAGTTTTTAATACGGATATGCACAGATCTAACTGTTGAAAACTTAATCCAACAATCAAAACATGTATTCCACCAAGTCTTTTTAAAGGGTCTCACCGTCTTTATATATACTACTAAATTAAACTCGTTCGACATAGTAATACAAGGAAAGAAAACTTATATATATATATTATACACACACACACACAGAGAGAGAGAGATAAATACAACCACTGAATGCGCACGTGCTTTTAAGTTTTAACTAGTTTCTATAGAAAATTTGCTCATGGGCCACATCCAAACCATCATGACATCATGTATATACCTCTCCTGCAAACGGCTAATTCAGAGTTTAAAATCAGGCTAACCCCCTTTAAAATTTAGGGAAAAGGAAAAAAGTGAACTATAAACGTCACACTTACGATAACCCTTACCTATATCAAGAAAGATTGACAAAAAGATGGCTACTCAATTTCTAAAAGCAGAAAAAGTAGAAAAACTTGGACACCAACGGTGGTGGCGGCAGTTGGGAAATCCAACTAACAAAAGTGTTTCAACATACAAACATGTACAAATATACAATTCCACCATCACATCCTCGACAATTTCCCTCCTAACGTACCTGCTTTTTTAGTGTCAAAGTGTTTACCAATCATCACCAACACTAGCTTCCCAATTATCCTCACTTTGTCACACTACCATCTACAAAAATTTAACAGCAGCAACATTTCGTCTCATAACCCGATTTCCATCCCGGAGCCATGGCCAAGACCCAGAGGCTCGCTTTGCTCCTAGTAAGGCTCCTGGCATTCGCCGCCACCCTTTCTGCCGCGGTTGTCATGGCTACGAGCCACGAGAAGGCTAGCTTATTTACTATCTCTTTTGAAGCCAAGTACTCTCAAACACCAGCTTTCAAGTAAGTTTTCCATGTGTTGTAGACTCTTCTTTTGCATTGCCTCCTTCGGTGTCTCGTTTTTTTTTTTTTTTTTTGGCATGATCTAGTTTATATGTATTGATCTTCCAGTTGCTAAAGAACTTGGTCTCTAGGTACTTCGTCATTGCAAATGCTATTGTCAGTGTGTACGGAATCCTTGTTCTTTTCCTTCCTTCAGAAAGTTTGCTCTGGCGTTTAGTGGTTGCTTTCGATTTGGTAACTTCAGACTGCCTCCCGTTTCTTTTTTCTTTTTTCTTTTTAATGTTCTATTGCTCACATTTCCGATGTAGCGCAATTGCATACTAAAGAAAAAGATATATTTTTGTATTTTCTTGAAATTAATTTGACATGAAATGTATAGAGTGACGGAGAGACGAGCAGCGAGATATTAATAAAAAATTATAGAGTTTATCTCAATGATACCTCTTCAATTTTACAACGTTTTCAATTTATTACCCGAACTTTAGAAATTCTCACTTTACCTCCTGAAATTTTGAATTAGTCCAGTTAACCCTCTTTTTAGAATTGTAGTGAAGAATGAACGCAAAAGGAGGGGGTTAAATCATTTAACTTAAATGCGATCATGTGGTCTTTTTCGTTTGATTTTAACAGAAGTTTTAACAAAAACACCATGTGATCGTACTACCTACTTTTTTTCCTTGTTTTTAATAGAAATTCTAACTAATTCAACATTCTAAAAGCATAGTCGAGTTTTTAAAGTTCAAAGGTCAAACTTGGAATGACCCCAAAATTCAAAACGCCACCGGTGAGAATAATTCATAATTATATTGTACTTGTCAAAAGAAATTCATTACATGCATGGTAACAACAATTTTTTTAGGGAAGTTGCAACAAGTATTTTGGTATAGCAAATGAAGACTTATTATATTCAATTCGTATGATCAGTGTTTTTTTTTTTCTTTTGCTTGACTAATGGTCCCCCCCAAATGAATGATTCCTTAAAATGGTAGTAGAGCAGGTTGGCTAGCCTAATCTTCATATCCGTTCCGCTAATACTTCTCAATTTCTTGTGAGTTGTGACAAAAAGGAACAACTAGAGATTTCACTCTTACTTGCATGATGAGATAATCGCTCGACAATTTATTAATATTATTTTCCCCCTAATAACTTCATTAAGGTTGTTAATGAACCTAAATAAAAGTTAATGATGATACAAGACTTAACATGCCAAGATTGGGTTCTATTTATTTGGATGATCAGGTTTTCACCATGTTGCTGAACTCAAGCATTTCGGCGGCTTTGGCTATTGCTTATGTGGGAAAGAAAGGAAACACCTATGCAGGTTGGCTTCCCATTTGTGGCCAAGTCCCAAGGTATTGTGGCCAAGTAAAAGGAGCTCTAATTGCTGGATTCATTGCACTCATAATATATATGGCGCTTCTTCTGCACGCAATCCACACTGTCTTAGACCCTCTACTCCTCAAGAAAACTTAGGTCATCTCAAATCCAATCTATGATTAAAAATACATTGCAACTAAAACCATCTTAGTTGAAAACCAGATATTAACCTAAAATGACACCTTGTCTCTTATATTCCACAACTTCTTGAGCTATGTCTAGTATGTACGGTAGAGTTTAATAGTGTATTGCAACTTATGTCAACAAGTGATATATCACAATTTTCTCGAGTGTGTTTCCTGTTTGAGTTTCACAATCAGAGATAACTCTTTTTTGTTTTGTTTTTTTTTTTTTCTTTTTACAAATTTTTAAGTTTAATCAAGCAGGGATCAATCATGGACCCTTGAACTCGAGGCTAAAAAGTCTCACTATCTTTAACTAGCTGCACTTTAATTCCAGCTCTTACGTGTATGGGAATCAATGGGTGGAGTTTATATTGTATAATATTATTTATATATAAGAAAAACACCTTTATTGATGAAAATCAATTACAGGTAGAGAGGATAAGGTATCCTCTAGAGAAAAAAGACGAACAGAACATTGCCTTAATGAAGAAGATAAAAGTTAAAACTATGAAACTCTAAATAATAGTCAATCTATCCGTTAAACCTAGTGGTAAGTTATTACGTTCACAGGAGAAAATATAATAAGAGTAAATCTAAATCATTCAGGTATACAGAGATGAGTAGCGAGCTTTTTAGGATCAAGGAACTGACAGTCTTTTCTTTTATTTTTTTTTTTAAGGTATAATAATAAACAATGCACAATGAGAAACCAAGGAGAAATTTTTTATCTTCCAAAAGCAATTAGTATTCATCCCACATGGTCGTGCAAAACGTCTGTTATAGAGAGTTGGCATCAATTTCTGGATTACTAGAGCAACAAAAGATAGTGCAAACTTGTTGCAAGTTATCGAAACCAACAGAAATCAAAACCAGCAAAACATGTACCTACTTTCATTTAACCACTAGAGCTCCTGAGAAACTGAAATCCTGTGTTTCAAATAAATCTGCTCATATTCCTCATTTTAATTTCCTTGAGTCATCATTAGTGGTTCCCAAGCAAGTGAAAACCGGAGAGTACCTGTGGTTGCGAATGACTGAAATGAGAAGATATGTATTTGCGGCTAGGAATAAGATGCTGGCCATCCATAGCTGAAGAAAGACATTCTTTCCCTTGAACTCGAGCAAATAGCCCCACATCAACCAGTGAAGTTGAGCACCTACCCAAAATATTATGCACAATAGGCCTTTCCAATTGAGTTTCAAATTGCTCCAAGGAAGCACCAGAGGCAAAAGACAAAAAAACCACACAAAGTATTGTGCAGTAACCACCTGTCATTGATCAACTATGTTATTCCAAATACCCACATGCCCAATACAAGGTTAAGTCCAGTCAAAATTGGGAAATCTTTCAAGTTTTGATTTATCCAAACCATCCGTTGAAGCCATTTGATAAAGATTTAAAAAAAAAAAAAAAAAGGATTATCAGTGATGATTAGACCAACCTTGTTGAACGCCACAAATGCCACTGTCTGCACAAAGAAGCAGAACGGAAGGTCTTGTGCAAAACTCAAAATCAGAACAAGCTGAACTATAAATTGAGGCAAAAATGAGATGAGCTTCTCCACTACCAAGAGTTTGCGCTCGTATTGGAGGTATATGTGGTAAAAATAAACAGAAAAGTTATGCCTCGGGTCTGTACGGGTGAGATGATAAAGCAGAGCCTCATGCAGGAAATCCCACCCATATAAACAAAAGAAAAGGGCAGTGCAAAACAAGAACACGGCTCCTGAAATTAAGCCAAAAAGTATTCTCTCCCTTGTTAGTACACATCTCATAAGGAACCGTGGATGGAACATACGAGCAATTCTTGTAATCCAACATCCCTGAGATGAACTTTGTTGTTCAGTACGACTCCATTTTTGAAGAGCAGGCCGACAACCAGATTGGAAAACTTGCGGATCAAGAATCAAAAGAATGGGAAGTGAGTATATAACAGGGTAGATTCTAAAGTGGACAATGAGCCCATACCAAAATGCAGCTTGTAAAACACGTCCTGTTGCAAAAGGAATGACAATAATATGAAGTCAGATGCACGTTGGTGAAAGGCATGTAACAGCCACTACTGAAATCTGTGCTATTTAAAGAACTTGCTAATGCCCACAAACAATGCAACATGAAGGAGATGATATAATAAGAAAGCAAACTATTTTCAAGAAATACTACAAAGAACTGCATACTAACTACATGAAAATTTTACTTAAACATCAAAATACATTTCTTTTTAGATCACAAGATATCATTCGATGATTCTCCGATATCGGCTATAAGAGATGCATAATTCACTAGTAAATGACTAAATACAGACTTGAGAACCTTCACTATTTTATAGCTCATCACTACAAGGAAATCTCAAAGGTAATATGATTTCTACGCTAACTCTTCTGGAATAATCACGTGCTAAATTAGAAGGAAAGGTTATCATTAGTACAAGAAAATGCATTAAAAGTAGAAGCTAATGAAAAAAGACAGATTCAGAGCAATAAGAGCAAAACTCACACCGTTCATGAGGCATAAGAGGATCCAAAGAACCGTGGCACAAACAATTGGCTCGCAGTTCCCTCGTGTCCCAATTGTAAAGGTGAAGGGATTGAAGAGCCAACATATCACAGAAAAAACACACAAGTTTTCAGGAACCCCTCGAAGCTTCAAAATGGCATTTATGAAGAAGCTCACAAGTAAATCTGCAAGTTTTTCCCAAAAAAAAAAGACATGAGAAAATAAATTTTTATCCTTTTTTAACTCATAGAAAAAAAAAAATTTATATATATATATATATATATTGCATTTTCCACGGTACCTGAAGCTGAGAAGAGGAATTTGCCCCACGAGCGATGAATAAACGTATTGGGCATGAGTAAAAATGCAAGCAAAGGCGAGTACCTATATGTGGATCTCTGAAAGGGAGACTTCCCGGAAGCCATTAGAGAAGCGGCGTCGGAGAATACGAGGTAATCAACGTCTGTGTATCTAACCTCCATGTGGGTGTCTTGCCATTCTCCATATAAGATCAGGATTAACCTGAATATTGCTGAGACGAGGATGATACTACTTAACCGTGTAAATGCCATTGAACTCGAGAGAAGAGATAAATAATGAGACTGGTAAGCCCCTAATCTCGGCCGTTGAGAAAGACTGCGAAATCTGACCTACGAAAATCAACATCCAGATATAAAATAATCCCAAAACCCGATGATTTCACTCAGATTTCCGATCAAGTACTACGATCTAGTAAATTCAATTCACGGTGTCGATTTTTCTCATTACTCTCTAGCTATTGATTTCTCAGCTTAACAAATCAAATTCGACATCTCAATTGGAAAAAAAAAAAAAAAAGTGAACTTTAACCGTGAAATGATAAATCTTAAAAACAATTGCGAAAAACCCTAACTCGTAACCTTTCTCCTAACTGTGGACAAGCTTGAGGCAGTCAGAGGATGAGTGGGCAACGCCGGCGGCGGAGTGGGAAGAGGTTGTCGGAGCGGGGCGAGGCCAATTGATTGCGGCGAGGATGAGCAGGAGGAGCACCTTTGAGGTGAACGAGTGCGAGTGGAGGAAGCGACGACGGAAGTTGGCCGGAATGGGGCATGAGGTGGTGCCTGTCGTTGGGAGGCGGCGGCGGCGGCGCAAGAGGTGAGAAAGAAAGACGACGGAGATTAGGGAAGAAGAAGAATCGTTCACCTCTAGGGATTTTGGTAGTGTGGTGTTGTTGCTGACATGTACAAAATTTTAATTGACCTGGCTTTTTAGAGTGACGTGGCATATTTTTATCGGATGGAGACAGAAATGGGGCCATAAGATGCCCGGTGAAAGCGTGTAGACCTCGTTCACTACACCGATTTGAGTTTTCAATTCGAGCTGAAATATGACATTTTCTGAGAGATTTTCACTGTAGGAGAAAAAATTAGATATGACATTTTCTTAGAGCTTTTTACTGTTAAAACTTAAAATTGAAAACTCGAATCGGTAAAATGAACGAAGCCTAATATCGTCAAGATCAAAAATTGAGGTTTACATTTGACATGGTTTGTTTGGTTGCATTTTTAAATTATTGTGATTTGAGTGTAGATTTTGAGTTGAATTTAAGTTATAATTTGAGCTGAAATTGTAATTTGAATTTGTGTTTGAATGTGCACATTTGAGTTATGATTTGGATTGAAAATTTTTTTAAATTTGTGTTGGAATGGGTCAAAACTTAAATTTGTATTTATATAGTATTTTAATAAAAACTCAATGATGATGAAAATTTTAATAAGGTATATAGATAGGGTTTTATTCGTCTCTTCGTTGTGAACGCATAGAAAGAAAAATTATCTCAATCGGAATTAAAACGAAAAAGTTATCGCGTTTTTAATAATAGAAAAAATACTTCATTAATTTGAGTTTGAGTTTAAGAACTTGAGTTAAAAGAGAAACTTGAACTCTGATTTTAGCCCCAAACGCAAGTTAAAACTCGAGTTCAAACTCAAGTTCAAACTCAAATTTTATAAATGAACATGAATTTGAATAAAGTTATAACTTGAGTTCAAATTTTTTTTGAGTTTTACTCTAAAAGAACAAGCCCAAAGTGCGTCGAATAAACTACCACAAAGACTAAAAAACTACATTTGAAGGAAAAACCATTTATTCACTATATGAACAAAATTTAGGTTAGTTTTAATTTTGACTGTAATTTTTGTCTCGTTTTATGTCTAAATTTTCAGATGTCACACAATGATTCCTGGGTTTTACAAATGTTGCACTTTTAGTCGCTTCTTGACAATACGGTTAAACAAAATGGACGGATTGAGCATGTAAAGTGCATGTGATACATTGAATGAGGTTGATTTTGTAAAATTAATTAAAGATTTATTTCATATTTGACCTAGGGGTCATTAACGTGACACTCAAAAGTTTACGAGACAAAATAAAATAACGAGTATTTCTCAAGATCAAAATTAAAATTAACCTCTAGAATTTTCCCAAAATGTACCAAAGAAAAAAATTATTGTTGAAAAGACAAAGTACAAACAGAGGCACAAATAAACGAAAAATTATTAGAGTGATATCTTCGAGGCAAATAGAAAATGACTAAAAAAATAATAAATTTGAAAAAAAAACCACTCACATCTCAACAGATTTCATACAAGAAAAAAAAAAGAGAAAAAAAAAACCACTCACTTGAATGTGAAACTCAGCCTCATTTGTAAGCAGTAATGGCATTGAGACGGTCAGCGATTCAGGGTGTTATGGCAATCAATGGATGTGAGCAATGCAATGATAGAGGGCTATTGTGGCCGGTGACAAACGTGAATAGAGGAGTTAAATAAGCGTTAGAGAAAAAAGAGAGAGAGAGAGAGAGAGAAAGCCAGGAAAAGAGAAGTGTAATTTTTTTGTATTCCTCAAAAATTGATTAAAACTGAAAGATAAGATAGAAATTTTGATTGCCACATCACATTTTTATATAAACAAAATATAGAAGATATGAAGGAAATGAGCAAAAATGAATTTTAGCTCGATTACACTTTTAGAGCATCTTAAAAAAAATAATAATAAATTTTCGAGCATGTAGAGATGCCAAACATACCATGTTATGTTGGCTCAATTTCGTGACAAATTCAACTCATTAAAGTTTTTATCGTGCTCTCTGAGGCAACATTAAAAAATTTAGATTTGATTAAAAGCGGCATGATTGTTTGTACTTACCCCTGTATTGTTCATGAGAATTGACATAACAATCCTATCGAGCATTTGAGTCCATTTTTTTATAGACTTTTGTGAATGTTGACAATTTTGATTTATTATGAAACAATGAGATTGTTTGGTTGGGAGATTCGTCATCTGGTTCGAATCATGGTTCGTGATTCGCTACAGTATTTTATCTCACAAAAAATACACGTAAATCGAAAATAATTCTAATCACATGGTTCTAATTCATGAACCAAACGTTTCAAATTAACTAAAAACAAATAGTTCAAAATGAAATAAAAATAAATGGACATGTATATATGTATTTATATATAATTATATTTATCTTTTCAACACTACGAAATCTTATAAATGTTAATGTGAAAGTAAATAATAATTATTTTCTTACTTGAATAATGGCGAATGTGCTAGCTTCATCGTGCTCAAAGGTCGAGTCGTGCTTAAATATTGTTCTTGTCTTGTCATGCTGATCCACCCTGCTCAAAACATGAGCCACATACTGAGTCACCACGTCTTGTTATGCATGACTTAGTTCAAGATGATCTCATTTCGTGCCCAAAAGCTCTTTAAATGAAGTGTTTAGTTGCAATGGCCCTTCAATTAGTCAAATCCTTTAATTTTTTGACGATCACTGCACATGATTATTCTTTTTAGGGTAATTATAAACATTAAGAAACCTATTAAAATCAAAGTAAAAAAATACTAAAAATAATCCCACCTATTCATATGATGTTAATTTAATTTTAACCTCCTTTTATTTTATTTTGTTTTTCAAACTCATTTAGAACCCTAACTATTAAACCTTCCCTCGGCATCTTTTTACCATGGAAACTTTTTTAAAATATTTGCCTACTGTGGTGATTCCAAGGCTCATGCGGATCCGTTAAGTTTGTTAATTTGAGTTGAGATGTTACTTTATATGAAAATTTTTTATTGTAATAAAAAAATTAGATGTGATTGTTTCTGAAAATTTTTTACTATAACAAAACTCGAATTCTAAACTCAAATTGGTAAAATGAACGGGGTTTCTTTGGGTGTGTTCTTTTGGAGTGTGATTTGAGTATAGTTCTTGAGTTGAATTTGAGTTATAACTTAAGATAAAACTGTAACTTGAGTTTGTGTTTAGTTGTGTACATTTGAGTTATGATTTGAGATAAGAATCTTTTTAAATTTGTATTTATGTGTATAATAAGACTTGAATTGTGAATAGTGAAAAGAGAAAATGGTATATATTTCTTATTTGAATTTATTTAATTTAAAAAATTAAAAAAAATGGCATGACTTCCGGAACATAAAAGTTTAACAAACTAAAATAAAAACATAAAATAAACAACTCTCTCAAACACTACCGACCTCTTTCCTTTCTCAACCAACTCGCTCTCTCTCTATTCTCTCTCCGGCGAGCCCAGGTCCGGCAAGTCCATCCCCTGTCCTCTTCCCTATCTCAACCAACTCGCTTTCTTTCTTATCTCTTTCTCTCTCGAATAACTCTCTCTCTCTCTTCTATCTTCGGTTAGTCCAGTCACGGCGATCCTGCTTGCCCCAAACCCAACCCCGCTGCAATCCCGACCCTACCCGCGCAACTCTAACAAAATCTCTTTGCCGCCATTGCGACCCTGCCCGCCCCAAATCGTGGATTTTAATTTGTTTGGGTTCTTGGACTTGATTTTGATTTTTTCGATGATTTTTTTTAGTTGATCTGATTAATCTGATTTTGTTTCACATTTGTATATGTCTTGGCGTTGTTTTGATTAATCTAAAGCATGGGGTCAGGAATCGCGACTATAGGTGTAGGGGAAGGAATAAGCACTGTAGCGGAGCCGTGAAGTTAACTCGAATTGATGGTGGGAGGTAAACTCGAGAATGAGTGGTTGACTCGAATAAATTTTTGAGTGTGGGTTCGAGTGAGCTAATGGCGAACGCCAACTTCACCCAACTTCATCACTCGAGTTGCCTTTTTTTAAGTTTTTAGGGGCTGTCGAACAAGCCATTTGTATTCTCTACAGCATTGATAGTTCTACTCATATAACAGCTCATGTGCCTACTATTATCAGAATCAAAAGCTAAGATGAAAGTGCTTAATGTGCTTCATATTGGTGCTTTGTGATTATTTATAATTTAAAACTTATCGGAGTCGAGTTTTTTAAACTAAAAAAAATGATACATGCTGTCAATATTAGATTATTTATTTAAATTTTTATAGTTTATATTAGGATATACTTATGTTTATTTTACAACTCAAATTATAACTTGAGTTGTGTATGTGATAGAAAAACACTGTAACAAAAAAATAAATTTAAATTTTTGTTAAAAAAAGACTGTTATAATAAAACTTGAGTTTTAAAATGAACAAGGCACCTTAGTGGACTTTGATATTATTATTGATTTTTTACCTGTTGAATTATTATCCTTCTATTTCCTTTTGGTTCTATTATTCTATTTCTCTTTTTCATTCTATCACTTCTCTAAATTATGGCCCCGTTCATTTCACCGATTTGAGTTTAGAATTCGAGTTTTGCTACAGTAAAAAGCTCTCAGAAACAGTCACGTCTAACTTTTTTACTATAATAAAAAAACTTTCACATAAAGTCACATCTTAACTCGAATCAACGAACTAAACATGCACTATATCTTTCTTCTCTATTCTATCTTTAGGCCTCATTCGTTTCGATGATTCGAGTTTAGAATTCGAGTTTTGTTATAGTAAAAAGCTCTCATAAACAGTCACATCTAACTTTTTTGCTACAGTAAAAAGCTCTCACATAAAATCACATCTCAACTCGAATCAGCGAAACGAACGAGGCCTAGTCCTATCTGCTACGTCACACTGCCCTTGCGAGCTCCCATTGCCATGGCCTCAACAATTGTTCCCCATGAGTCCGTGACACCCACTTCTGGGGCCTCCACCACACAACACCCCCTGAGGCGACAAGCAGATCCTATGATTTTTAATTTGAAGTTTAACGATTTGAACCATTATTGGTCTGGAAATATAAA